GTAGCAATCTGGGGAATAAAGCAATAGATGTAGCTTTCTCTGTCTCTCCCTCTCTGTAACTGTGCCTTTCAGGTAAATAAAACAAATCTTAGAAAAAAGGAAAAGAAAAGAAAGAAAACTGAACTACTTGAAATTTATCCCAACACTAGTATAGCTCCCAGGTAAATCCCAATCTTGAACTTCATGCAAACAAATTTATTGGCAAAATCAGCACATTTTTATAAGAGATTTACTTTTTTTTATTGGAAGGTCAGAATTACAGAGAGGAGGAGAGACAGACAGGAAGATATTCTATCCACTGATTCACTCCCCAAGTGGCTGCAACAGCTGGAGTTAAGCTAATCCAAAGCCAGGAGCCAGGAGCTTCTCTGGGGTCTCCCCTACGGGTACAGCATGCCAAGGCTTTAAGCTATCCTCTACTGCTTTCCCAGGCCACAAGCAGGGAGGTCGTTGGGAATGGAGCAGCTAGGACATCAACCAGTACCCATATGAGATCCTGGCATGTGCAAGGTGAGGACTTTAGCCACTAGGCTACAGCGCCAGGCCCCAGACTGCACATTTTAAACACAGAGTACTGATGATTAAAGAAGATTCCAGATATTGAGAATCCCACATTATGGCCCATTCCATCCCCTTTATACTGAGACGGCATTTTCGGGTCTTCTCCCTTTGGCAGCAACACGAATCTCTTCCACACTGCAGGGACACCCCATCACCTCTGTGGGTCCTGCTAGCACTCAAAGGTTCGAAAAACCACCAGATAACTTCTGAGATTCTCTTTACACCCCAGCTAACAAGCATATTTCATCCTGGGATTCAGACAGAGCCAAGATCATCTCCTGATATGATACCTTTCTCTGATTTTCCCACCTATAAAACACAAAGTGGGGCTAGACTCTCTAAAGCTCATCTCAGTTTTAAGATCCTGTGAATCTAAAAGCAACTGTTTATTAATGCAATTTGTGATAGCTAATAATGAGCTGTTTTAAAATTCCCTGCTCTGCACAGTACTGTTTCTTTCTTTCTTTTTTTTTTTATTGGAAAGGCAGATATACAGAGAGGAGAGACAGAGAAGAGATCTTCCGTCCAATGATTCACTCCCCAAGTGAGCGCAACGGGCCGATGCTATGCTGATCCAAAGCCAGGAGCCTCTTCCGGGTCTCCCACGCGGGTGCAGGGTCCCAAAGCTTTGGGCCGTCCTCGACTGCTTTCCCGGGCCACAGGCAGGGAGCTGGAAGGGAAGCGGTGCTGCTGGGCTAGAACCGGCGCCCATATGGGATCCTGGGCGTGCTAGGCGAGGACCTTGACCACTTGCGCCACCACGCCGGGCCCCACAGTACTGTTTCTAAAGAATTTCTATAATTGTGTCAGCCTTGTTTAAAGAACTAAATTTACATACTGGATTTTTAAAGAGAATTATTTTTTCAGGATATTAAAATATAGATTAGACAACATATCTGACATATGTAATAAATTTCCTAAACGAATTAGGGTTGGAGTTACCTATAATTAGTTACAAAATTACTTCTAAGAACTGGATCAAAATAAAATTAAACAAACCAGCTACTAAACTACACATATGTCCTCAAAATCTTATGGGAGTAAAAAATTCCAGTAAAAATAACAGAAGAGATGGAAACACAAGTTTCTTATTATCACACTTCATATGTTATAAAACATAACAGCTAACTTGTTTTTGGCAAAATGATTAGGGATTGCAACACTTTGGCTTGCACAAACTTATTTGATTGTTAAATATAACTTAAATGGAGCATGTCATGCTAACTTGAGGCATGCAGGCCCTGTGTTGTCATAGAGTAGCCCAGAAGACACTGAAATTTCAACACTTAGGCAGGGATCACACCCCCAATATTAACTGGTCCAGGTGTTTAATGGTGGTGGTGGAAGGGGGCAGAGTTGTGAGTATGAGAGGGAAATTTCAACAATGTAGTTAATTGAAACCAGACAAAGTGTTTGGATAGCAGAAAAAAAAATCATACAGATGTTCACCCTCCCCCACAAAGTGACCTTTATGAGCAATTTATTGCACACATTTTCTAGAATATACCTATTTTCAGAAGATAAAACATAGTTTCACATGTCTCTCTGAAAACTGTATAATCACAGTACAAATTATGTCTCCTCAACAGACAAGGTTAAGCTCATGTTTCATCTTTTACACCCCTTTTCACCACTATTCCTGCAAGGGCAAGAACACCTGAAAACATGGCAATAATTAGAAGGTTCTCAAGTTGAAGAAGCTGTATGGAGGCAGATCAGACTCCACATGTACTGTACTTTTTTCTTAACAGACTTTGTGAATGCAAGCCCAAAAAGAAAGATGCTCAAAACAAATGTTTTGAACAACTGTTTTCAAGCACAAATAAAGAAAAACCAAAACAACAGAGCTGTGATTAGGCTAACAGACTGTGACAACTCCTAAATGAAAAATTTTTTCCTTATGTTTACAGAATAGCAATGATATTATCAAATATACAAGTATAGTTTTTAAGACTTTTAAAGTTTTAAAACAACTGCAACAATTAAGAATCCCAAGTTATGTTTCCTAATACCTTGTTATGGCTCACAATGGCTCTCATCTCCTAGTTCATTCCATCCCCTTGTGTTTGGGTTGGATCCAATGAACTGATTCCAAAAGAAAGAATATAGCAAAAGTGATGAGACACCACTTCTGTTGTTAGGTCAGGGTCTGTGACTTCTATTTTGCTAGCTGGCTCTCTCTGGCTCTTCTGCCAGGCTTGCTCTGATGAAGCAAGCGAGAAAGGTTGACATGTTAAAGAGGGTAACCTCCACCCAACTGCCAGAGACAAACTAAGGCCCTCAGTCCAACAGTCCTTGAACTGAATCCTGACCACAACCATGTGAGTACGCTGGAAGCACATGTGACTCAATTCAAGCTCTCAGATGAGACTGCAGTCCTGGAAGACACCTGATTAGAATCTTGTGGGAGGTCCTGAAGAAGAGGACTCAAACTGTGGCCAGAAACTGAGAGAACACATAGGCACTATTTTCCACTGTTAGGTTTTGGAGCAACTGAATACTCAGCAGGACACAGTACATAACAAAACAATAGCTAATCTAATGACTGTGTTGATGATTCAAGTGTCATTCCCATAAAAATAATTATTTAACAACACTTCAACGTTTTAGACATCACTCTTTGGGAAACAATGACAACACTTACTTGAAAGACAACATATAGCCAGATAGAGAGCCAGACAGATGCAGGCACAGCTATCTCCCATCCACTGCTGTGTTCTCAACTTTCCCCACAGCTGGGGCAGGACCAAGCTGAAGAAAGTAACCAGGAATTCAGTTTGAGTTTCCCACTTGGGTGTCAGGGACTCCGCTACCTGAGCCATCACTGGCTGCTCCCAGGGTACACACTGGCAGGGAAGATGCAAGAAAGAGCAGAGCTGGCACTTAAACCTGGGCACTCTGACAAGGGACACAGGTGCCCTAGGTGCATCTTAGTCACTGTGCCTCGTGTCCAGTTCTTATATAGCATTCCTCGCAATAATCCTATGAAGAACATATTATTGTCTCTATTTTACGGATTAAGAAACTGAGGTACAGACTCTGTAACTTGTCCAATGTCAAAGACAAAGAATGACAGTGCTGTTTTCACTCTAAAAGCCAAGCTTACAGAGACTCTACAAGTAGAACCAGTAAGAGGCAGGGCTGGACCCTACAGAGGTACCACAGCCCTAGAGGAGAGCATTCCAATTTTAGTATATGTGCTGCTGCTGAGAGCACCCTAGAGGAGATCTTGGAGCACAAAGGCAATTAGAAGTTAGGCAAAATGCTAAAGGAAAAACCAATGCCTGTTATCTGCTGAAGGTGATTTATCTAGGGAAAAAAACAGAGTAGAAACAAGGGACAGGAAACAAAGTATAACCTCCAGTTCATTGAATTCATACTTAGAAATGAAAAACATTTTTCTTACAGCAAGTTATAGCAAATTCAAAACCTCTATTTGGAATTAAAAAGTACAGCCAGGGAAGCTATAGCTGTGCTTTTCTTTAATAGTATTACCAGTAAGGAGTAGGAAAAGGAGCAAATCCATAGTGAGACTGAGATTCCCCTGGAGACACCTTATCATATGGAGTTTAAAAAAAGTCAGAATCCTAGGACAGAGATCCCAAAGAGATCACGTCCCATCTTGCTTCAGATTCCTAGGTTAAATCCCTCACCCCTGCGATTCAAACATGCAAACTGGCAGCTATGACAGCCATTGCTTAGTTTGCTTCTTCCTTGAGATTCTTCAAAACATAGGAGTAGTGCCTGACATCCAAGGCAAACGTATAGTATGTGTTGGTTGAATAAAGAAGTAAATTATTTTGTGTATTACTGCATTCATTCATTGGTCATTTCAATAGTATGTTAGTAAATGTTGGAATTTTTAAGTCTCTTATAGCTAACTCACTTTCTTGAGTTCTTTATGTCTCAAGTGTCCCTCACTTAATATTAGGCACATGAGGTACCCAAGAAGTTCTTAAGAAGGAATGAGTGAATGTTTGTCTCAAAAAGGCTATAAGGCTTTGGAACAGACAAGTAGGGCTTAGAACTAAGTAAAGACCTCATTTTCCACAATGATAATTGTTTACCTATCAATGATGACATTTTCTTCCTTCTGTAAAGAGACATGTTTGAGAAATTCCAAGTACGCCATTTTCTTGTCTGTCTTAGCTATTAATTGCTCTTAAATATTCCTTTATAGAAGATGGCAAGTTAAATGTAAAATCTGAGCCCTAGAGTCAAAGGTATCCATTTACAAATTTCCTTCCTCTTCTTCTATTAGCATTATTCATGCAAACATGAATATTTTACAAACATACATTAGATAGGCCTGTACTAACACGGAGATAAGAAGAAAGGCAGCTGTGTTGTGTTTACCCACTAACCACGAGCAAAGGAAAGCTGAGGAGGATCTGTGCAGTTGCATACTCAGACAGAGGCACTGCCTAAAGTGTACTTACTGGGAGCTCAGGCGCACGCTTCAAGATCTGAAGGCAAATGTAGCTGCCTATGGAGTGGCCAATAAGCACCAGCTTCATTTCCTTTGGTACATGGGTTCTGAGGAAGGCTAGTTTGTGTTCTATTTGGCCACTGAGTCCATAGATGTCCTTAATTTCTTGAGCATTTGGATCTAAAAGCAAAAATACGAACGTGCATTCATTCAACAACTAAACATCACTTCACTGGAAACAAGCTAAAGAAGAAATTTTAGTGACAATGGTTAACATTAAAAAAAAAGCCAGGAGTATGCTACAGTAGTAAGCAATAAAAGTTTGTCAGTCAATACAACAACCTTGGAAAGGAAGCATTGTCATTTTCATTTTACAGGTGAAAAATCTCTGTGCTCCTAAAAGGACTGATAGCCACAGACTTACTGAGGGGGAGCATGAGAGTCACACCCAGGCCTCTTGGTCCTTAAAGCCCTTGACCTTTCAATATTTTATTAATCATTGCTATCTTAAGACAATGTTTTTCAAACTTAGGCATGAAAGAGAATCTCCTGGAGGGCGTCCTAAACCAGAGTGCAGTGTCTCCTCCCCTCACCCATCCAGTCAATAGGTCTAGGTTGGGATCTAAGAACTTGCATTCCTCAAGTTTCCTGGAGATGTTAATTTGTTGACACCAGGACCACATATTACAAACTAGTGGACTATGATGAATTATGTAGAAATGTTTTAAGCTTCCTTTTAACTAGCATAGTCCTGATTTGAAATATTCTTCCTGTCACAATTGAACAGGTTTTTACATTCTTGAAAACCTAAAATATAAAACTCTGCATAGTTAATCTGCAAGAAATATGAATCTTCCCCAGTGCTTGAATAACATTCAATTCTTTCACCATAGCACTTTCTCAAACCTGACCACTGTTTTTATGCCTACTTCCTCACTTAAGCTATGAGTTCCTGGAGGACAAAGTTCACCTTTTCCATTTCATGTCCTCTGTGATTAGCACACAAAGAACAGTAATGGTGAGTGAAAATACAAATTTCCTGGATTATCTCTGAGGATACTGGAAGTTAACATTGTGAGGACCGAACTTTTCAATAAGTTTTCCTTGAGAACATATGTAGAACCTCAATGACAGACTATCATAAGATATTTGTCATGGAGCAAAGCACTTCTAGGCCATCACCTGTTTCCATACCAAGCGCCTCAATAGGAGACAGGATCAGAAGTGAAATAGCTGACATTCAAACTGGAACTCGAAAGTGCCATGCAGTCACCTCAAGTATTTGAAAAAAAAAAAAACCAAACAAACAACCAAAAACACAGGTTGCAAGTATTATAAGTAATTTTTTTTTAACATCAGAGAATATTATCACCTTTTTATGGAATGATAAGATGCATAGCACACCTTTAAAGTATTGGAAGTTTAGTTCCAGACCATTGCAATGAAGCATCTGTTGCAGTCAAGTAGGTCACAATTCTTTGGTGTCCTAATGAATATACAAATTATGTTTACATAATACTGGAAGCCTTTAAGTTTATAATAACATTGTTATGGCTTTTGGGATTTTTTTCCTCACAAATACTTACTCCTGGAGACCTGTACTCCCTTTGACTGTAGCACCCTCCATGGCCCATGGGCCCCACCGGTTCAACACTATCACACTGAGGACCAGGCCTCTAACACTTGGGCTACTGCAAGCATCATCCACTGTTTCCCAGACACATTAGCATGAAGCTGGATTTGAAGCATGGAGTAGTCCAGACTCTAGCCAGGTACTCTGATCTGGAAAGTAGATGTCCCAAGAGGCAGCCTAACCCACTGTGCCACAAAGCCTGCCCCATCATTCAAATTGTTATTCAGGTTAAGTAAGGAGGCTCAGGGGAACTTTTGGATTCATGCTACACCTCAGTGAGGTGGTTGGATGAGAGTGGTGATTCCTAATTCTATCGCTTATATAACCCACCACTTCGGGAAAATGTTCTCTGAGTTTTCAAAGCTGATGTGAAAGCAGCTATACCTAAAGCTTGCTGTTGAAGTATGAAGCATGGTGAGGGGATGCAATGTAGGCATGGTATTTAAAATTCCCATTTTACTTAAAACAAATAACTAAATAAAATGACCTTCTAGCACACGTCACATGAAATAACTTTAAAAAATCCACCTCCTTCCTTCCTGCCTTCAGCAGAGTGACAGGGAAGAGAGGTGGAGAAGAGTGATGGCTTCCATCTGCTGGTTCACTCCCCTAAATGCCTGCAGTGGTCATCTTCATCTCCTACGCAGGTGCCCAGGACCAATGCACTAATAGGCCATCATCCACTTCCCTACCAGGTGCCTCAACAGGAAGCTGGATCAGAGGCAGAACAGCTGGAACTCAAATTGGAACTTGAATAAGCAATGTAGTCACCTCACATGGCAGCTTAACCTGCAACAGCTCCTAATTACTATTTTCCAAATAGATTGTGAAAATTAGGATCAACAAACTATGCTTTCCATCTAGTGAAAAGCAAGGACCTGCCAAGGATTTCAATAGGAGAAACATGGGAAATAGGAGGAAGAACTAGCAAGGAGAACAAAATGTCATAGATTAGGCAAAAAAAAAAAAAAAAAAGGCATGAAAGAATGAAATATTACTTTAGAAATAGTCATGATTTCTGTCGTTTCTTGTGGTTAGAGCGTAGGACAAGCAATTGGGCTCGGTAGGGAAGGCTGTGACTGATCGAGGAGGACAGGGAGATCCACACCCAGGGGTCTGGGCCCGGTTTGGAGCAGCGCAGCGGGAAGATACCCAAGGACTGCTGGGAGAGACGCAGCAGGACCTGACATGCTGACATGCCAACACTCGTTTGTCCTTCTGCTGGCTCTGAGAGGCTAACAATTTGCTGATTCCTAACTTCTCTTGCTCTGCCTTTTGGTTTTCTGCTTCAGATCTAGACTTACTGTTTTCATGTCTAGTGACTGTGAGCCCTGACACCTGACTGTTTCTGCCTTAGGCCAGTCTGGTAACTCCATCTTACCTCCACATTCTTCTGCAGTTCCGTGTCCTGGCAGAGAGAAAACTCTACTGGTTTTTCATTCTGCCAAGGCGACAGCAGTGGGAGTAATGCATTGTTCCTTTAGGTAAAACATGAGTCAAATTTATTGTTAGCTGCCAAGACCGTGCAAATTTTTTAGGTAATGCTATCTGCTAAAAATAAGTTAATATGATTTCTAGCTTTTTTATACCTCTTGAGAAAATGAGTTGAAATAGTTGGTAATGTATTTGTCATCAAGTAAGCTGATTCTAGAGAATCAAAGCCAGAAAACAACTTATACTGTTAACTCCTCAATTTTTTCCAGTTTTACTCTCAAATCATCCACTTCTGACTCTAAGGAATACCTCATCTCCTAATTGCATTCAATTTATGATTGTGATAATGTGGTACACACACACCATTATTTCTAACTGTTCATAACTTTAACACACTTTCAATATTTGATGTATTATTGTAACTTATGTTCTTTCTCTCAATTATTATGTAATTTTCATGCTATATTTTGCATGTCAGCGAACCTGCACATTAGGACAGTAATTTTGGAAGCAGAATATATCTGTCCTGTCTGTACAAAGTAGTTTGTTGCAGTAAACACTTGCAAATGTACCTTCTACCTCATGAAACAGATAAGAGCAGATTTTTAAAAAAGATTTATTTGTTTTTATTGGAAAGTCGGATTTACAGAAAGGAGAGACAGAGAGAAAGATCTTCCGTCTGCTGGTTCACTCCCCAAGTGGCTGCAATGGCCAGAACTGAGCTGATTTAAAGCCAGGAGCTAGAAGCCAGGGGCTTCTTCTGAGTCTTCCATGGGGGTTCAGGGTCCTAAAGCTTTGGGTCATCCTCTACTGCTTTCCCAGGCCACAGAGAGGAAGCTGGAAGAGCAGCTGGGATATGAACTAGTGCCCATATGGGTCCCGTGCGTGCAGGGAGAGGACCTTTAGCCACGAGGTTACTGTGCCAGGCCCCAGAATTATTATTCTTAAACGGGGGATTTGGCAACGCCCAGAGCTCTACTTAGCAAGCAGAGAACACAGCTAACAATACACTGTCCTAGATGGTGGAGGCTGGCATTTCCATTTCTTTGTATGCCTGGTGCAGAACCACATATCATCCATTCATTCATTTGGAAATCCTGGCCAAAGTGAGAGGCCCTTTGACCCTCTTCATGCTTCTTTCGGCTCTAGTGGTGGCCCCATGAGCTAAGGCCTCTAGATGGCACTGTTCTCATTAGCTAGCAAAGAAGTTATTCATTCAATAGGACACTTGCAGCACGAGGAACAATAAATACACTTCAAGTAAAGTTATACGTGGTAAGCTGTCCATCTAAGACAAGAATTGAGAACATCCCCTAGAAGTTCAGACACATGACAGATACCCTTTCCTTGCTCTCAGTGTTTACTGAGACAGACCTAGAGCATGGTGTTGAAAACACTTCAGGATGCAAAGCATAAACATGACCTGGGAGCTTCATCTCTCGGTCCGAGTGCCACTGAATCAACAACCCAGAACTCCTGATCTAGTGTTAGCCTTCAAGGTTAGTTTCAGCTTTCAAAATCAATTTTAGCATCTTGTTCAAATGCTTACTTCTGTCTTTAGCACAACAGATAGCCTGCTGTGAAAGCTCCATGTTGCTCTCATACTGTGTCAGCTTGTAGCTTCTTTCTACTACCGGTGACCTTTCTTACTCAGGTAAGAAAGGAGGACTAAGATTCACCATTAAGAAGTTTAAATATAACAAAAGAGGTACCCAGCCTTCACTGGGTACCATGCAGTATTTCCACTACAGGTTGAATATCCCTTATCCGAAGTGCTTAGAGCCAAAAATATTTCAGATTTCAGTTTATCAGATTCTGAAATATGTGCACACACTGAACTTGTTGAACATCCTTAAGTGAAAAATCCAAAAGCTGAAATGCTCCAAAAATGTAAGGCTTTTAGAGAATATTTTGGCACTGAAAAATTCTCAGGTTTTGGAGTATTTGGAGTTTGGAGTTTGGATTTTGGATTAGGGGAGCTCGCCTATACTTCCAGGCTCTATCTGTCCGTGACTTTTCTTTTGCCAGAGTTCAAAGTAAAGATAAGGCAGCTGGCAGCTTTCAGAAATTCAGCTTGTCAAATAAAGAAGCCTCTTTCCTGGGAGTCAGCAAT